AAGCAACAACTCGTTCCCTTTACCCCTTCGCTTGGGGTCATAAAATTCAAATTTCCGTCCTCTACCGGAGAATAATGTCCATTGAATAAGGGACTGGGACTGGTCGGAAAATTGAATGATGATCTTTATTATCTTGAACCCAGAGACGTTTGAAACATACTTTTTATGGCTATTCAGAATTAACTTTGAGTCAGTAAGGAAGAGACTAAATCAAATTGTATCACAAATATAAAGTACGGGAGGGCGGGGGTCGGAAAAATCGAATGACTAGTCACCCAGTTCACCCCTTCCTATCCGTCCCTGTAAGGTTATTACACAATGCATTTATTCTATCTGGGTGATTGATTTGCGACCAGGCCTGCATATGAATTCGCCAAGGTTTGTAAGCCAGTGCATTTTTGTTAAGCGGTCATATTTGAAAGTGTAAATAAAGGAAAGGGAAAACCCGCAGCTCTCCTTTCACTCAGATAAATAGTACAATCGTGTTAAATTTATTTACATAACTAAACAAAATTATTTTAAAATAAAAAAATTATATTATTATAGAATTAAACCATACACACGTGTTTTTCAGAAGGGAATTTAGTCGAACTTTTTTCACGATGGAATTTTGTTTTAGTCGTTTCCACATAAACAGTCGCTATCAAGACATTACACGAAAAACCCCAGTCACCGTTCTAGCTCTCGTTGTAAGGTCAAAGCTAGTAAATGTGTAACCGACCTGTCACATAGCGTCAACCCGTTGTATCGTCGAGCACGCTTGCGGCTTATTGCCGAAAATGCTACAAAAAAGGATGAACTACGACAGTTGTTCAAAGTTGGTTGTACCAAAAATAAACGCTTTAACTCTATTGGAATAAGTGGAGCTAAGCTGCTCTAGCTCTTTCAGTGATGTTGTAGATACCTCAAAACTTAGAGGAAACAAGAGCTAAGAAAAAGGATTTGCAATGGTTCCTCCTAAGATACTTTGGACTTGAATGTCGCTTCAACGTCCTTCTGAAGTCTTCGTGAAGTCGGCCATTGCTTCGCATGCAATGGAAAACCCGCGTAGAACACAGACCAATTATGTTTATCAGGGAGGGGAGTCTTTTGGTATTAAAGAAAAAAATATTTGCTATTTCATTTTTAAGATAAAATTCTATTTATGCAAAGATAAACATTTGATTGACATTTAATAAAAGCTATTTTATAAAGATTTCAATTTCTCTTTGCGTTTTAGCTTTGATTTTCTGGATAGAATAAAATGACAGGCAGCCTACTCCACTGAGTCGAGTTTTGCTGTGCAAATTCCTCCCGTCGGGGGGTTATGTTTACAACATAAGCTTGTCATCTTTGTGCTGATTGGCTAGTCGCATTTTCTCAAATCACCCAGTATAGTTTACAACACGGACGCGAATGTCACATTGTAAACGACTTATGAAACGCCAACACTAATTAACATGAATTACAGTGAGATTGACGATGTATGTAATTTTCCACCAATGGCTGTCTGTCTGTTTGTTTCTGAATATGAAATATGTGAAAACTTTGTCACTGTCATGTGAATGAACTACCAGAAATAAACATTTCTTGAAAGTTTTACAGCCCTGCAGGATAAAATGCGAACAAATTTATTAATGGCCAAATGAAGATGCAAGAAATGTATGTAATTTTCCCAATGCCTTTATAGCCTCGTTCTGGTGTTATGATATATTTTAAATCCTTATAAATCCACCAGAATTTAACATTTTCATTTCAAACTTTTATATGTTGTTATTAGCACAGGTTCCTTTCAGCTGTTAGTTTACTTTGACTAAAATTCTAAATTTTAAAAATTTATATTAATTAGATGGCGGCCATTATGGTAAAGGTGTATGGTGACGAACGTGTTGTAAATACTACACTAATGTTGTATCAGATTTACAAGGTCAATCACCTGACCAAATAGACAACCCTTATTGGAGGAATGGTTCATGAATTATTAATGAGTTTTATAATTAACAATTAGACCTTGAGGTCGAGTGGACTACGAGCTAATAGCCCATGAGGCCGAGTCCGCGAGGCCGAATGGGCTATTAGCTCGTAGTCCACTCGACCTCAAGGTGTTTTTGTTTTAGTATAAACATACTAATCGGTCAAATAATGAAAACAAATTGAAATATCCTTAATAATTTGTAATTCATTTATTTTGATATTCCCGCGAGTGGTCTATCACAAATTAGACCATTAGTAGAGTAGCCAATCACAGCGCAGTATGAGTGATAGACCATTAGTATGTTTATACTAATACATTTTATACAATTTTTGATATATAACGAGCGCTCGCTCTGATTGGCTGGCGACCGTGTTTATATCAGAGGACAAAGACACGGCTTATCGGCAAAATTTGTTTTTCGTTGGAAAAATGAAGAAAAATTTTATAAAAGAACTATAGAAGCAAGAGAAGAACCCTAGAAGGAAGATTAACACTCGCTACGCTCGTGTTTCTAAGCTTGCTTCTCTCGTGGTTTTCAACTCTCCCACCGTGTTTATATCAGAGGACAGAGACGCGCGCCGTTTTATATTTCTTAACTAGAAAACCTAAAACTTTTTAGAACCAATTCAGCCTGAAATTTCCGAATAGACCCCTTGCATGTGACGTCAAAGCAGCTTCATCTGGAGGACAAAACAAAAGATTTTTATCCTCTTGGGAACTAGAATCTATTGTTTTGTCCTCCAGTTGGAGCTGCATTCCCATGAACTGCAAGGGGTCTATAGATTCTTTTAAGCTCTTTTATTTTCTAAATAATAAAAATTCAATTTRTTTATATTTGTGGTACAATTTGGTTTAGTCTCATCCTTACACTCTAGGTTAATTCTGAATAGCCATAAAAAACAAACGTCAATGTTTCAAGATAATATAGATCATCTTCATACGCCCGCCATTATGACACGTTGTCACTAATACATATTCTTAATGTTTTTATATTGCTTTTCAAACTCAGAAAGTGTTGTCCCTAATATGAGCAATATAAAGGAATAAAAAGATAGGTCACCATATTTAACATGTAAGTAAGAGGGAGTATGAGATTAAGAGTGGCCTTACCAGCGAAAAACCGCTGCCTTATTTGAAAACAGATTCTCTTGCGCAAAAAGACCTGACCAAACACAAAAGAGAGCACGAGAAAATGTCGTTACAACAATAACCTTGAAAATTTGCATTTTCCCGAGTTAACCCCGAGGCTTCTGGGAATACAGGGTTAGTATTAGTAGGGCTAGGGGGAAATGTAAATTGTTAGCGCTGTTGTACTTACAACATTTTCTCGTGCTTTCTTTTGTGCTTGGTAAGTTCTTTGCCTAAGAGAATTTTCTGTCAAATAAAACAGCGGCTATTCGCTTTGAATTCGAAAATGGAGTATTGAGAAAAAGCTAGGATCTTATACCTATGTTATACGCGGTGTAAATCCTGCATGATACATGACTTTGACTACTCATAGAAAGTTTGCATCATTTCCAGTTGAAGAAATCTCACCATCGAAAGATTTCTACACTGGTTGATAAGATAACTTTCCTATGCATTTGAGCACAGCGTACAGAAAAGTATTTGTTTTGGTATTGTGATGCCACATGAATAGTGAAATGGATATTATGAATGATGAATTGAAAAGTGATATTTTGGATGGAAGCCGCGCCTTTCACAGTTTTGAATGTAACTCATTGTCATGGATATTTTAGCCAACTTTGCATATTCCATTTGACTTGAGGCAGTCTCGTTGTTGTTAAGAAATGAATTTCAAAATAAGTACTCGCTCAATCTGCGCGGACGGATAAGTCAAACGAGCCTGTCACAATAGAAAAAAAAATTTATTCAATTTTTTAATTATTCTTTTAAAAGATTGATTTAATTAGATAAGAAATAAATAAATGAACTTTTAAATGAGAAATTGAATGTCTAATTAAATGCATTTCTTTTTTGTTTGATGAAGTGGCAAGCGTCTGGCCGGTAAATTATCGATTGATATCCTACAGATAACTTGATTGATCCGCGAGTGGTGTTTTCAAGATCTGTTCGATGGCTATCTATTCATACAAGGAGATACAAAGTCGTATATAAATCCTTATATTTTTAAATTATTGAACATTGGTTTTGAAGAACATTGCAGAAAACGTGACAGCAATGTACTAATGTGACTCGGCATGAAGGCGTCAAGGCAAAGTCAAGACGTTTCTGAAACTGATACAACACAATAGTATTGACCACCATTATCATAGTAAGCTAATTTAGATCCACAGCTTGTTTTGCGGTGAAGTTTGATCGTCCATCAATAGAGATACAGCAAGATGGCTCGTCCGTCTTGCCTATTGTTTGGTCTTTGTTTAGTATCATTCTGTGTTTACAAAGGTAAGTTATCTTTAAGGACAAGTTATGAATGATTTTAAGAGAACGCTTATCATGTCAGGCATTGAAAACCCAGCACGCTGTATGCGGTGTTTGAATGGGTGAGACTCCTGAATAAAGCCTGGAAAAATATTGCTTTATGTAGGAAGACGATATTGTTTATCTCAACTTGGCTTTTTTCAAGGTTTTCAATTACAAATGCACATCAGTCGTGTGTCTAACAACACCATGTAGTTGTAGATGACCCCTGTCATCATTTTGTATGTCCTTTGTTATCGCATGGCCGAAGTAGTGTTTTTGTATTAAGATCGATCTCCTACACCAAACAATGAATACAATAAGACGTAATAATAAACAGCCATTTCATAAAACATTGAATATAGGCTTGAGATACAAATGTAGCCAGACTATAAGGCTCCTTTCAAGGCAGGCTATTACAATTGTAAATCTATACAGTAAAACCGATACAACTATTTCGCAAAAGGTTGAGATACTGAAGATGGTGTATTCCAAGACCGAAATGCATTGTTGATCGTTCTATCGGCGTTGAAAGGGGATTTTCGTCGTGTCGAAGTGAACGAAACAGATCCGCATCATTTTCAGTTAGAAAGCAATCAAGTTTAGAATTGTCATTTTGTAGCGCAGGTAACTTGAAGTATAATAGCAGCAATGCATTGCGGTCTTGGAATACAGTATGCAGAATTCAAAGTATTTTAAAATTGCGGTAAATAAAAATACTAGGATTAACAGATGACTGTTAGTTAATTTGAATATCGAGATATCGCTGAATATCATAAGTGGGAGGTTTCCGGTATTAAACAAATGTATTCATTGAGGTTTTCATAGATTCACGGCTGGTGGTGTTAACTAATGATTCATGTTCTATTAGTCTAATGACAGTCTGCCTTTATTTGGACTTTTTCAGTACAAAACATAAATTGAAAAGCTTGTTTATAACAGAGAAACATCACGATTGCAGGTGTTTTGTAACAAGCGCAAGTCAGTGTTCTTGAAGCCGTTTTTTATAAAAAAAGAGTTTTTTTATAAAAAAAGAGAAAAAGAAAAACTTGAACTGATCTTGTTTTTTCGAAGATTATCTGACGTATCAATCAATTGAACACGCGATATAAATAAACCAAATAACCAAACAAACAAACAGAACTGCAATAGTAGAATGCAGCACCGTCAACAATTCACATTGTCGTACACAGCTACAAAGAAGAGGCGATCAAGTCAAGTATTTCTGACTGCTTTATAAATACAGTRATTTGTAGTTTTGTACATAGTCTACGGAAGAAATTCGTTCTTCTTCTTAGTTCAGATTCTTTACTTGTCCGCCAAAAATAAAACGGTATTTAAGAAATATAAAACGGCGCGCGTGTCTCTGTCCTCTGATATAAACACGGTGGGAGTTCGAAAAACACGAGAGAARCAAGCTTAGCTTCTCGAGTGTTTTTCAACTCCCACCGTGTTTATATCAGAAGACACAGACACAAGCGGCCGTTTTATATTTCTTTTATAAAATTTTTCGAGCGAAAAGAAAATTTTGCCGGTAAGYCGTRTCTCTGCCCTCTGATATAAACACGGTCGTCAGCCAATCAGAGCGCGCGTTATATATCAAAAATTTTATAAAAGAAGATAATACACGGTGTTGCGTAGATATGAAAAAAAGTTGTACTTAGCATTATTTCTTTTTAATTCATTTTTTGAAGCGCAATTGGATCACCTTAATTTTCATTTTAAAGTAAAAGATGCTGATCCAATATTCGATCTTAATTTCTTGACTTATTGTATTAAATGTGGTTTTTTTTAGTCTACAGTATAAACTGCTTTAAATGTGAGTCCAAGACATCCTGGCAAGACTGCAACAACAACGCTAGAAAGGTCAACTGTTCGGATATCAAACACTTAAACAATTGCATGCAGCAATACGAGTATAAAATATTTGTTAACGGGACAAAAATGCAAAACAGTGACCATTACAAGAGAGGCTGTGCWGCAAGGGAACAATGTAACGGTCTTGAAGACTACTGTGCAAGACTGGGCATGAGATGCAAAATTAATTGTTGTCCCAAAGATTTCTGTAACGGCTACAATTCGGCGACAAGTAAAGCTGGACCTTACTTAGTAGCATATCTTTTTCCTATCGTTTATATCATTAATTAGCATCGTTGTTTGAATGTGTCTCAAGAGAAAAAATAAAACATAAAATAATCTCCTTTACCATAGTAAACTATGCCTTCACGGTTACCTGCGCCATCTTGAAAGGTAGCCGTGTCTTTGCATCGAAGCGAGACGACCGTTGAGCGTGCAATGATAGAAACCTTCTTTAACACCTATACAGACAATTGTTTACAGGTATCTATCATTGCACGCTCAACGGATGTCTCGCTTCGATGCAAAGACACGGCTACCTTTCAAGATAGCGAGACGACCGTTGAGCGTGCAATGATAGAAACCTTCTTTAACACCTATACAGACAATTGTTTACAGGTATCTATCATTGCACGCTSAACGGATGTCTCGCTTCGATGCAAAGACACGGCTACCTTTCAAGATGGCACAGGGATCCGTGAGGAGACTATTGAAGTAAATTCCACTGGGATCCACTGAAAAATGGAAAATGCATTAGGATCCCATGCCTGAACCCAGTCATACATTGCTTTGCCGTAAAATAAGCAGATTTGAAAGATTAAATTTCTACCGGTTTTCATTGAAACTTACTAGGTCAAGGGAGCAYTGCAGAATATCTTTTGTACCTATCATTGACGATCAAACGATCGTTCAGTCGCCTTTTTGAATTTTTGAATGTTTATCCGCTGACCGTGTGTAGCGGTCGYGTTCCGAAGGTGTGACGTCATTCGAGGGCCGAGGGCGCGATAGAGCCCCGTCGTGTCCTTCACACCTGTCTTCACACCTTCGGAACACAGCCGTTTACACACGGTCAGCGGATAAACTTTCAAATATTCAAAAGCCATTCTGCCTCGCTCCCTTGATTAGGATCTTTTTTTCAGCTGTTTTTTTACGTAAAAAATGCTATAATAAAAAAAAAAGAAAATAATAATTCCCACATAATCGAGTTAGAAAGCAAGTATGACGTCATCACAATGAATGATTTCTCATTGGACGAACTTGATATGGATGAGCAGAATCYATCAATCCGTTAGGACTGGCAATGAAGGACACGCAAAAAGAAATTGAAAGCCAAACAATTTATGTCATATTTATTTATCAGTGAAACCAAGAAAGAAACATTTGCTACTGAAGATCGTCTTCTTCGTCTTCATCGTCTACTTTGTCATATCCTTCTGCCAAATAATCATTTTTGACTTCTACTCCAAAATATTTCCTCATCTCCTCCTGTGCGTTGTGTGGGTCTGTTCTGATAATGTCGTAATCTCGACCGACGCGTCGCTGCACTTGTTTTCTTGCTTCATTTGGCGTCACTTGGTTGTTTTTAGGGACGATTTGACCGTGTCGTTGCATAATCCACGACCATTCCATTCCCATCTCGTCTCGCATTCGAATCACGTCGGTTACATCTAAAAACAGAAAAAAATATGACTTTAGAGACTGCGCAATATATATCAGGAGAGGGGTTTAGAATCCAGAGGGGGTGGGGGGGTGGGGGCAACATCTAATTTTATGTGCTTAAAGAGGGGGCAACGTCTAAAATTAAAATTTCGTTTGCGAGGGGGTTATTAATTAACTTTTTTGATTTTTCGAATGTTAGTGAACAATGGTAGTAACCATGATGTGCGCCTCTCGCACGCGAACGAACAAATCTAATTTGAAGTTATTGTATAGACTTTTGCAGCTAATATTATACACTTAAAGCACTGTTGTCAACAAGGAGGAGGCGCAGCATCAAGAAGAGAAAAAAAGACTGGAAAGCAGTGATGAAAACATACAACATCAAATTTAAAAATCGTCTTCATAAGTACTTGTCAAATGAATAAAGCCCTTCAACTTCACCTGTTTTAGAAAATTAGTTTAAAATCGTTTACCGCAATAGTTGCATGAAAATGCTAAATTGTATCAGCTTCAAAACTGCCAAATTTACAGCGACTATATTTAGAAATATTGAAAAGATGTTTAATGCAAGAATGAATGTTATAAAGTTTGTCGATTAATTAAAATTTGGCGTTTCTTGTTTGCACCATGAAAGACGAATGACTAATTTGCTTTACAAAATGAAAACCATCATGGCGGGCTATTCAATGGCAGT